TCTAGAGACTTGCCTTTTCTTTACATTTCACATAAAGGAATCATACAGTAATATGTGGTTTCTTATTTCTGGCTTTTACTCAGCATCATGTTTTCAGGGTTCATCCATCTTTTAGCATGTGTCAATAGTTCACTAGACAATATTCCATTGTATGAGTAGACCACACTATTTATTTACCCGTTGATGGATATTTAAATTGTTTCCAGTTTGGGGTTATTATGAATAATGCTGCTGCAAATATTTGCATGCACATCTTTGCGTGGGCATAAACTTTCATTTTTCTCGTGTAGATACCTGGGAGTTGAATTGCGGGGTTGTATGGTAATAATATGTTTATGTGTTTTAGAAATTGCCAAACGGTTTTCCAAAGTGGCTTCTGCATCTCATTTTAGCATTTTCTTTATTGTCAGAGGAAAAAGACAATGTTCCTGTCATTCATTCATTCATTCGTTCATTCATTCACATAAAACTCCTTTCTTTATTTCTCATGTATTGACTGCCTACATTGTCCCAAGTATTAACGATATAACAATAAATGACAAAATCATTTCCTTCAAAGTGCTCAGAGTCTTTTGGAGAAACAGAGAAATAGATAATTAAATACAGGAAGAGAAGTGTAGAAGCAAAGCCTGCCTCTGGGCACAAAGGGGAGGAAACTTATTCCAGGCTTAGAGGAGCAGGGGAAAAGTTTTGGAGAAGGTCACACCTCAGTTGATTTGTGGAGCTATATCTAGGGGAGTGAAGTTGGAAGGGCATTATAAATCTCAGAGCAGAAGGGCAACCTGCCCTGCTTATAGTCAGAACCCCTTTACTCTGATGAACTTTATCTTTTTTTCCGTAGCAATTATTGCCTGCAATGGGCTATGTAATTTATGTTGGTAAATGTGTTTGTATGTTGAGCTATTGTCTATTTTCCCTCAGGGTAGAGATCTCTGTCTGTTGGTCCACTAATATACCCCAGATATCTGACACAGTGCGTGACACAAAGAAGGTACATACTAAATATTTGTTGAATAAATGAATGTGTAACACTAACGGTTTTGATAAAAGTGTGTATTTAATGCTGTTTAATACAGCAACTGAAGATTAGATCCCACTGAGATGAACAAAATCAAAGTTGCTGGGGAAAGTGGATGGATTCATATGAGGAAGAGTAACTTTGAGATTGTTGAACATCATGCCAGAAATGGAATAGCGTTGTCTCACTTTGGAATTTAAGATAGACTTGGTAAGACAAACCAAAGGATGCTTTGATACCTCTGGCAAGAGAACAAGATTTTTTTTTTTTAGGATTTATTTATTTATTTGAGAGAGAGAAAGGAGAGAGACAAGCACAAGCGCGAGAGGGGGAGGGGCAGAGGGAGAGGGAGAGGGAGAGAATCCCAAGCAGACTCCTAGCCGAGTGTGGAGCCCGACGTGAGGTTTGCTCTCATAACCCTTAAATCATGACCCGAGCTGAAATCAAGAGTTGGACACTTAACTGATTGAGTCACCCAGGCTCCCCAAGAGAACAAGACTTTTTTACATTAGGATACAGAGGGAAAATTGCAGGTACTGATGCAGAACTTTCAAGTAACTTTTCAGAAAGTTAGGAACAATTGAGGAGGAAGGATACATTTGAGAAAAGTTATTTTGGTTAATATAACAAGGAACAAGGGATGTGAGGGGGTAGGAGGAGAAGAAGGAGGAGGAAGAGGAGAAAACTGTCATTCCTTTAGGATTTTCCCAATGTGATTGTCATTTTTTAAGGCATTTTTGCAAGTCAAATAGGCAAAGGCAATTTTTGACACAGTTATCTGTGAATCTGAATGCAGCTTCAGTGTCTTCAGTACAATAAAAAAATGCCTTTGCTAACGGAGGAAAAACTAAGGCATCTTTTCCTCAAATTCATTTTGGTTCTCAGCTGAAGGACTCCCAGCCGTTTCAGTCGTGCAGAAAAAAAATTCCACCGAATGAAGATTTATAAGTGATTTATATTTCAGTTTTTGTTGATTGACTTTATATTGTTACCGTCTCAGATGGGCTCTTTGCTCTGAAAATAAACTGTCTGCGGAATAATAATGCCATAAGTTTGGTGTCAATTCTAATTCAGCTCAAATGGAAGTATAGTTTTTTCTTTGTTTGAATTTTTGGTTTATTTTTGGTTGACTGAGGGGCCAGGGGGATTGGAGGAAATGAAATTGTGTGATGAAGCAGGCCTTGATCGTGAGGGGCCTTCCTGCTCTGCTAAGGCACTCAGACTTGGCCCAAGGGCCCTTGGGAACTGTGCAAGATTTTAATGAGAGAAGTGACACGAAGTGTGTTCAAGGAGTCACGATTTGCTGTGACTGTGATTTGGGCACCAAATTGGAAGAAAGGACAAAATTAGAGGAAGGTTGAGAATAGTTTGCCAGACTTCACAGTAAGTGAGGTGAGAATCAGTGGTGAGCTGAAGGAGGTGCTAGGTGGTGCTTGGAAGGAATCCTGGGACAGAGGCAGCGGTGATCAATCTCTGGGGTGACTTATATGCATGCTGAGAAGGGGATGGAAGAGTCAAGGATGTCTGCCACATTTCCTTTCTTGACAACGGGATTGAAAAGGGGTATCATTCGATGAAGTAGAGGACACAGGAGAAAGAGGAGCAGGCATTTTGTGGAACAAGATAGTAAGTTTGGTGCTGATTTGTCACTCTTTGGGCGTGTCTTAGTTTGTACAGCTATGACAAAATATCTCCAACTGGTAGCTTAAACAACAGTCATTGATTCCTCATGGTTCTGGAGACTGGGAAGTCTAAGATCAAGGTGCTGACAAACTCTGTCTGGTGAGGGCTTTCTTTCTGGATTGCAGATGGCTGCTTTTTTGCTGTAACCTTACTTGGAGGCGAGAGAAAGGTGGAGGGCTCTGGTCTTTCCCACTTTATATAAGGGCACTGATCTGATCATGCAGGATTCATCCTTAGGACTTCATTTAAAACTAATTACTTCCCAAAGGTCCCACCTCCAAATACCATCACAGTGGGGCTTAGGGCTTCGGAATAGGAATTTGGGGTTCACGGAAACAAATATCAATCTGTAACAAGGAACCTATGGAACATTCATATGAACAGATAGGCCAGGCAGTTGGATCTCTGGGACAGGCGCTCAGGATTAAATCCCAGTTTGAGGTATAGATTTTGAATCTGTGTGTACCGTGGTGATACATGCAACCATGGTAGGGCATATGGTCCCCTACAGAGAGTATTGGAATGAGAAGAGATTAGGTTTGTGTTTGGAAATCTGGGGAACACTGACATTTAAGAAACAGGCAAGAGAAGAGGACCTCGTGAAAACAAGCCAGGAATAGTTGGAGGAGAAAGGGAGCAGCGGGAATATGTCAAAAAAGCAAGAAATGAGGTATTTCTAGAGGGAGGCCTTGAGCTTTAGTATCAGTAACTAGAGTTCAGTTGAGTGAGGACCAAAAAAGGTAGATGGGACTTAGCAACGTGAAACTCATTGGGGTTCATGTAACTACAGCTTCTGTGGAACAGTGGGCATAGAAATGAATGAGGGGAGGAAATAGAAGCAAATGGTGATTATAAGTTGTTTTCTTTCTAACACAATTATGGAAATTTATACCAAAAATACTTTAGCCTAACATAGGTTATGTTTTTTTAATTGAGGCGAAATTCACATAAGATTATCCACCTTTTTTTCTTTTCTTTTTTCTTTTTTTTTTAAGAGGGAGTGGAAGGAGGGGCAGAGGGAGAGGGAGAGAGAGAATCTTAAGCAGGGGCGTGCTGGGCGTGGAGCCTGATGCGGGGCTTGATCTCACAACCCTGAGATCATGACCTGAGCCAAAATCAAGAGTTGGATGCTCAACTGACTGAGCCACCGGGCACCCCAGGATTATTCATTTTAAAGTGAGCAATCTAGTGGCATTTGGTACGCTCACAATGTCGTACAACCACCACCTCTGTCTAGTTCCAAACATTTTCAACCCACCAAAAGGAAAACCCATACCCATTAAACAGTTTCTCCCTAGTCCCCACTTTCTCCAGCCCCTGGCAGCTACTCATCTGTGTTTTGTCTCTGTGGGTTTATCTATTCTGGATAGTTCACATAAATGGAATCGTATAATGTGTGATGTTTTGTGTCTGGCTTCTTTCACTTTGCTTAATGCTATTGAGGTTTATCCACATTGTAGCATGTATCAGCACTTCATTTGGTTTTATGGCTGAATATTCCATTGTATGGATGTGCTACAATTTGTTTATCTATTCCGCTGTTAATGAGACTTTCTACCTTTTGGCTATTGTGAGTAATATTTCTGTGGACATGCACAGTCATATATTTATTTGAGTACCTGCTTTTGCTTCTTCTGGGTATATATCTAGGAGTAGACTTGCCAGAGCCTAACAGTTTTTCAAAACTATACTTATAAATGCTGATAAGAATCCACAGGAAGCATTGTGCATTATAGAAAAAGTTGATTTATACCATCTATGTTCTTTTAAGTACTTTACATTCTTTTTGAGATAGATTGGTGAAATGATGAGTAAACAGTTCATCAAGAAATAGATGAGTTGAATGAAAAAAAACATATATACATCATTTTTGAAGAAGGAAGTTCCCTTTAGAATTGAGTTTTGAGCCTTATAAGAAGAAGTATTTCAAATGAAGAGTGTGGATAGATTAACTCATATAGGAGAAGGAAGATGGGACAGGCATAGGTTTGAATGCTTCATTTTAATTTTTCTGAAGGAAGTAGGAGTTGTGCTCTGGTTGGGGATAAGGGAAAGAGTTGGCCATCCCTAAGTTGTGTCATGTTACTTCTCATGGAAAGATTCTGGGTGACTTACCAGAAGAATATTAATGTCTCTCATAAAATATGTATCTAGTTAAGTCAAATGCTGATTCAGGGAGGTGTCTTTTGATTCTCTTTCATTTCATTATATGATCTCTGTTCAATGTATATATGATCTCTATAAATTTACTGCTAAGATTGACTCATTTATTCATATCTATTGTATGTATTTTTCTCAGGCAGAGAAGGCTGATGGATTTGTCAACCTGCCCGATTTCACTGTGGAGAGAGCATCTGAATGCAAGAAAAAGCAGTAAGTTGTTTTCCACAAAACCCTGAGCCAGAATAACATTCCTTCATAATTTTAGTTTCTCGAGTGATATGGTAACTTGGAAGTTAGTGAAGGTAACACCCAAATGTCTGAGAATTTTGAACTTTATGGGTTGGCATCCTAAACAACAGCGTAAGCTTTTAACCTCTTGTTTTCTGGAATTTCATTTTGTGGAACAGATGGATTTTAAAACCCCATGGAGCCTTGGCATGGCATATTTTTGACAACCATGTCTGAGATGGAATGAAAAACAAGCTCCCATCCACGAGTGGCTGGGAGATCAGATGTCAAGATATTTTCTTGGTGAAGAGAATGACTAGTTCAATAGGACTCCCCAGAGCTGCAGATATGATAGCAAAACCAGTTTCTTTTTCTTAGTTTATAACATTATTATCCTTGAAATAGAATTCTCTGAGAAATCTTGGACTTTGGGATTATACCCTGATATAATTTAAGTCCAGAAGATTTGAGAACAGACAAGAACCAAAAAAAGTCATCAGCGTCTGGTCCCCATTTTACTGAGAAGGGAGGAGCCCAGAGAGTCTGAGCTTGCCTAGAACTTGCAGGAGAGCCTCGCTACATCAGCCAGCCGTATTCCCATTCTCCTGCTCTTGCCATGATAGCATCCAGCCACATTTGGCGAATGTGCCCTCTTCACCTTTTTCTTGTTGTTGTTCTTCTACCTCTGACATCTTTTTCTATTTTATCAGAAAGACATTTATTTCCCTACTGACCTATGTTACCAATAGTGGCAATTGACTAGATTTTTCTAAGAAAATGAATAAATGGTATTAGTTTTAAGTCTCTGCCACTCTAGTGTTGCTGCACTTATCCAGTGATACGTAAACTTGTGTTGATTTTCGTGGTTTTGACCAAACTGGTTATTTACCAAAATGCTGGCCGGTACTGCAGGACTTCCGGTCTAATGATAAAGGGGAAACATTTCAGTGTTTGCTAATTTTCAGTGTTTTCTACTTTACTTTTAAACTGACAATAAATATAATTTTCCTCTACTCATAGGGGGAGGCTTGGATATAATTTTTGATGTGTTGTCACACTGTGGAAGTTCTATACTTGATTATTTTCCTACACATAACATTCTTGTATGTATTTGAATTTGAATAAATATTTTTCTTTATTGTTCTGAGTATTTAAGGGACACCTCTAAGACCGTAAACTTTAATTTATTGTCTCTTTCTAGCAAAGTAGTGAGCAAATGAAAATACAAGAATATGCCCATATGTTTTAAATAGAAACTATCGACTAGCCAAGACTCAGTGCTTTTCTGGATGTCTCAACATGATAAATTAATTCTCTGCTCTCTCCATGAAGTAGAGATTAGGCAATGGGTATTTAATGTAACTAAATTATTTTTTGTAGATTTACAGAGAAAGCAGATGAATTTACCACACTTATATTTAATTTACTTTCAAACACATTGACAACAACACTAATTTCTAATTTTTAATGTGTCTGTGTTTTTCCCCCTTCAAGTGCTTTTAAGATCAGCCATCCACAGATCAAGATCTTTTATTTTGCAGCTGAGAATGCACAGGAAATGAGTGTGTAAGTAGAGAAAATTGCTAAATCTAATCTTTTTGGGAATAGATTACTTTGGTCAGGTGTTTGAATTTTAAGCATATGTTCATATCAATTCTTGTTAAAGCATTCTTGCTTTCTTCTTCACTATTTGGAAGCATTTTGGAGAACTACATATATCAAAATGGCTATTTTAGGAAGAAGTAATAAGATTCTTCTGAGGGAACCACTAAGTTGAGAAAGGAAAGGATAGAAGTCATTATAAGAAAATGTTACAGCGAGAATCAGCATCACAGGGAGAAAGGCCTGAAAGTACTGTGACCAGTCTCACAGCTTTTAGAATTCTACATGAAATATATCTATAGGATTTCTTCTGTGCTGTGTAATTATCATGATGATCCCTGTGTTTATCATTAATCCATGTTCTATCCTGAAAATTTTGCAAAACGTCCTTGCTCAGAGTACATCTCACATAAAATTTTATATCCCTAACTCCATTTCCTGTTTTTTTTTTTTTTTCTGTTTAAATAAGTGGAATAAATGCATAGAACACTACCTGTCCCACTCCATCCCCTGCTGGTTTAGATTATAGTGTGATCACAATGGCTCTTAATTGAATGAGGCTATATATATATTTGAGGCGCTTGAGGCATCAGAGGGCCTTCTATTTAACTTAAGCCCTATTCCCAGATTTCTCAGTGTTCCTCATTACCTTCACATAACTAATAAAAATGTGTCAGTGGAATACCTACTAGGTGCCCCACTGTGGCAGACCTGGGCAATAGAAATAAAAGACTTATTTACCTAAATGAAGAGAGGAGTTGTTTCTACCCTCTTTCTGATTTTACCTTTATCCCCTTGGCTTTCTCAAGCGCCTGAGAAAAAGAAGAGCAGATGCCCCCAAAGAAGATAAAAGCCTTCACAAAACTCTTTTATTTCTCTTTTTATTTGTGTTGGTAACTAAATCCTATTGATTAGCAAGCCGTTGGTATGTCGGTGGTGTGTGAAAGGCTTAATGTTCAGCAGTACTTGGAGCCCCTCCATAGTGAGGGTCAGGCTGGAGCTGAGCCGCCGATTAATCTGGTGGTGTTAATAAACACCATAGTGGAATCTCTTTGGGCATCCAAGTTAACTTCTCTCTTCTCCCACAAGATGATGCAGATGACATTTAAAGATTTGTTCTGAGTGGCTCCTGAAGACCTTCCTTTCTTACTGAGGTGGCCAGTTTAAGCCAGTAAATAATGTGTCTGGGTATTTCTTTATGAGATGCAGAGAATCTGGGAAGGAGGGACTGGCGTGTGGACAGATGCGTCCTGTTTTAGAAGTTCACTTCCTTGGGAAACTGCATTTTTGGGTAGTGACATTTCTCTCAGGGACGATGAAGGGAAAGGTAATTACGTTTAATAGAAATGCTGTGTGTTCTGCAGGGACCCTCAATTTACAAGTAGAGGGGTAAGTAATTAAGGGTAATGGAAGAGTTGCTTTCTAAACAAAGACTGGTTGGTAGCTGCCTTTCTCGGACAGTGTTTGTGGGAAGAACCTTCTTGTTTTGTGTATCAATTTCTTAACACTTGTGCTCCTCCAACACATCGAGTTAATATACAACAAACTCCCAAGAAACATCTGTCATCTTCTTTTATGTAAATATAAGTCTTTTTGTGCATCCATCTATTTAGCCACAAATAGAAGTTTTTCTATTGCCTTAATGTTTTTTTAAAAAAAGTTCTTAGCAAAAGAGGTACTCTAAGCTAGTGGATTCCAGGAAGGAAATAGTCAAACAAGATTCTAAACAATCACGTTTTCCACAGCAAGTAACTAATGGTAGCAATTAAAAGGATATGAGTTTTAGGTAAGAGCTGGGAGGAATGATTTCTTTATTGTCAATACTCTTTCGTTTTGCCATATTTCTGTATTTCCGTGTTCTGGAAAGGAACTTAGAGATGCCTTTTCTTGTTTCAAGCATTCTCAGTTCAAAAATAGTTTTTGTCTTGAAATGTTAAAAAATTTGTCTATTTTACTTTTAGATTTTTTTTGGGTGGGAGGGTCAGTATATAGTTAGGAAATCAGGTATAAACTAAGAATAGTTTATTTTGGTATTTTTAAAAGTGAACCGTTAAATTCACTGTGCTTTGATCAGTTTTTAAAACTGTACATTAAAATGTTTCTTTTAGTTTAATGACACACAAAACATATTCTTGTAAAAAATCCTATAATACAGAAGTAGGTAAAGTGAAAACCTTTCCATCCCCCCAACTTCACCCTCCAATTCAACTTCTCTCTTTAGGATTAACTACTTTTTTTTAAAGATTTTGTTTATTTATTTGAGAAAGAGAGAGAGAGAGAACACAAGCAGGGGAAGGGGCAGAGGGAGAGGGAGGAGCAGACGCCCCCACTGAGCAGGGAGCCAGACATGGGGCTCGATCCCAGGACCTCGGGATCATGACCTGAGCAGAAGGCAGACATTTAACCGACTGAGCCACCCAGGCGTCCCAAATTAACTACTTTTAACAGTATAACTGACATACATCCTTTTTGATGGTTTTCATTGCATATCGATTCATGCACATATACAAATACATAGTTTTAAAAGTACATTGAATCAGGCCAATCATATTTTTCCATACCTGCTTTTTTCACTTAACAGTATGTTAGGATTTTCCCAGGCCATCAGAAGGCTTCCTATCCCAGTCTTTTTATTAGCTTCATAATAACATTGATTGTACTGATGAAATTAGTGGTATACTTTATCCATTTTCCTGTTAATGGATGATTATATCGTATCAGTGTTTTTTCCTTTTTTGCCATTGCAAATCTTACTGAATTAACATTCTTCCACATTTATTTGTGGTTTGTAGGATAGACATTTATAATTGGGGGTGGATATTTAAATTTAGACTAGTATCATCAAATTGCCTGTTTAAAATTGGCTGTATCAATTTTGATGTTCAACTGAGCAAAGGATGAGAATGTTTCCCCCTAAATTCTAGAAATCAGTGGTATTTTAGGTTTTGCCAATCTAGTGGTGAATATTTTCCTGTGTATGTATATGCATTTCCCAAAACACTAAGGAGGCTGATAAATTTTTTCTATTTTTTTATAAGCCATTTATATATATATATATTTTTGTGATTTCCTGTTTGTTTGTTTTTGGGTTGTTTATTATTCTATCGGGTCTTGATGAACACTTTCTCATTCCTATGGTGGGATCTGGGCCCATGTATTGGTCTGGTTTTAAGTGGCTATTAAGGAGCTCATATTTGTCATGATGCTAAAGGGGCTTCTTAAAATGCTTTTTTTTTAAAAAAGATTTTATTTATTATTTATTATTTATTTATGATGCAATTGTCATAATTCTATAGTTGGTCTAAACATTTCCAGAAACAGCGTAAGTCTGTGGTGTTGAAACCTAAAACCACTTATTTATTCATTTAGAGAGAGTGTGCAAATGGGGGGAGGGGCAGAGGGCCAGGGGGGGAGGGGAGAGAGAGAGAGAGAGAGAGAGAGAGAGAGGAGCAGACTCCCTGCTGAGCATGGAGCCCCTGAGATCATGACCTGAGCTGAAATCAAGAGTTGGACGCTCAACGGACTGAGCCACACAGGCGCCCCTGAGGGGATTCTTAAATGAGGCTGAAGCTCCTCTTTCTTCTTGTAGAAAGCCCTATTTGTTTTTAAAAATGAAATTTATATATTTCCTGTTAATAAAAAATAAATATGGCAAGACCATGGCAGGTTGAGGGTTGGGTAAGGATTCCTAATTTGTTGACAGTTGAAGACTCGGGAATATGCGATAATTATGTGGTAGGGGAGCAGTGTGCTGGATAGTTCACGAGGCAATACAGGACTAGAAGAAATGGAGAGCATAAGTGAGTTAATAAGTGCATAGCATTCTTATTTTATTGGTATTGGTTGACTTAGGCCACTACTGAATGTACTGGTTTCTCAAAAAAAAAAAAAGTGAACATATAATATGGAATACTTTTTAAAGATATAGAAAATTGGAAAGAAGTGGGAAATAAATCAGATTATTACCACCCCAAAATAATATTTTCCCTTTAAATAAAAGGTTATATAGCTAGGAACATATGAAATAGATGCATTTTTGTGTCTTTTACGAATTTGTGTGATGAAATATGTTCCTGACTAACCCCTTGAGGAGAAACTCCAGTGGCCTTAGGCCATGAGCCAGGTTTGAGTTCCTTAGTAAGGTGTGTCTAGTTGTATTTTTATCATTGATGTTTAGTTGAAAATCATTGCCAATAAGATAGTAAATTGATAAGAAGGTAGGACACTTGTCATTTTTTACCTGACATAAAATTCTTCAAGGAATTAAACATTTCCCTAGCTTAGGAATACCTGTCAAACTCTGAGATCTTCTATTGATTAATATAAAAATCCTGTCTTAAAAATGGATCATCTTCTCTTTATTGTTTTTGTGAAATAAAATTACATTTTAAGAATTATAGAGATGGGACGTTAATGTCAGGTTACTAAATTCAATGATAGAGGTTTGATTGCTAATAATTTGCTAAAAATTTGCTAAAAATTTGAAATGCACAACTACAAAAATATACTTGTTCATATATTTAGAATATTTAACGTAGTTGCCACCCTTAGCAAGCTGGATAATGGACCACCTTGTTTCTTGTCTTACAAAGAATATCCCAAGGAAGGAAAGTATTGTGAAACAAGTGGTTTTAGGTTTCAATACCACAAACTCACGCTGTTTCTGGAAAAGTTTAGACAAACTATAGAATTATGACAATTGCATTATAAAGTCTGGCACAAGACCTTACTTCAGGGTCTAGGGGGAAGTTGGATAGGAGATGACCAATCTCTTTAGCTAAGCATTAATTTTCTATTTGAATTTTAGGTGGTTAAACAAGCTTGGGATAGCTGTAATCCATCATGATTCTGCTACAAAGGACGAAGGTATGTTCTATTTTAAATTTCTGAAAATTTAGCAAGAGTATTAGGATGAGACAGGATGGAAATACAATGTCAAGTTCTATGCATAGTCTCGTCTAATGAAACATACTTTGGCATTTAAAATTATCTGAAAATATGTAGAAGCAGACATATTCACACAGACTCACCACCATGTAATAGAGCTTCCCATGCTGGCTAAGAAAGCTTTTTACACTTCACCCACACACTAGCAACTGTAGGCTTCACTGAGCTCTCAAACAACTGCCAGTGTAAATGTTTTATTGTCCCACTCACTCTTCATGATCTAGACAGATAACTTTCATCCCACTGTTTCCTCTCTGATATTTTAATATTTCCACCAGGTGTATGCTGAGGCTAATTACTCTAAGTTTGTGCTGGGAAACTGAATGTCAAATTGGGACACAGGCCGTATTTTTAGCTCAGCCTGTAGTTCTCTGGGTTCAAAAGCTACAGGAGTCAAAATCTTCTTAAAGATGCAATTACTCCTGAATATTGAGAAGAAGAAGGCTTTAGGTTCGGGGTCACAGAGTTGATACTATTTCTGAAGTACTCAGGCCATATAAAACTTGGGAATTGGAAGGTGGGGAGTTAAATCTTTTGATAGCAAAAATTATAAAAGCTGAGACTGAGAAATGGAAAAGTGAAATCAGTGTCCTGACCATCTCCTTGGTCCTCTTTGCCGCAACATCAATACCCATTGTATATTTGAAGTGCATTTATAGATTGTGAGAAAAAAAATCACTATATAAAAATCTTCTCCCTATCCTGGTATTTAAGGCCTTCTGTGATATGGCCTTAAGCAAACTTTCAGCTTCATTTTTTTTTTTTTTTTTTTTTTACCACATCCCTTAGGGGACTCCGTATAGTTGCCTCAGCCTGCACCCTCGACTTGGTCCTCTCATTACTCTGTGTGCACTGTTGATGGTTTACTTATCCTGCCATTTCCAGCTCCTCATGGCCCCTATGATCAAAATTAATCACTACTGATTTTATGATTCCTTAGTATATGATTCACACCTCTTCTGAGGAATTATTTTATTTTCCCTGAGCTATGGTTAGTCCTCTTCCTATGTATTAGACACTCATGAGGGCAGAAACCCTAATATGGCTATTCATTTTTTTCCTGCTCTTATGTAATGCCCTTGCACCAGGTAGCTCAGTAGATGAGTCCTTTCTGAGTCGGATTGGAATTGCAATAGCCAGATAGAGCAAAACCTCTGCTCATGCATTATGGAATGAGTGATGACAGTATTGAAACATTAAGCATTTTCATTTTTGTATAGAATGCTACAGTGAGAGTGAACAGGAGGACCCCGAAATAGCTGTGGAGACACCACCCCCTCCTTACTCTACAGAGACTTTCTCTCCTTTGGTACGTACTGACCTCAGTAGTCTATTGGTCATGATCAAGTGCGGGGACATCGTTCCTTCCAGTGGCATAGAATCTACTTTGGCCAAAAAATTTTTTAGAACGGGCTAAATTAAGGTACTTGCCAAGGAGCAAGTGCAGTTCTCAGATTTTGAGTCTTCTCCATAGCAACCCCGTGGTATGACAAACTTGGTGTATTTGTGTGTGACCCACAGATGTATCATGCTGACAAGACTTATGGTAATGCAGAGGGCTTCTAGGTGATAGGCCAGGGCTTGCAGAGATTTGTTTTATAATGTTTATTTATACCCTACTGGTCTTCAGAAAGAACTGAAAGTGCTTGTCCTGGGCGCAGGCATTATAACAATGCAAAATGAACACTAAAGGGATGAAGGCAGTAGATGAAGAGAAAATTAGAGTCCGAAAGGTATCAGGAAGCCAGGAGTGGGGTTAGTGCATTCAATCTGCACGTGGAATAATTCTTCTGTATATTCACTAGAGAGAAGTCCAAGTTTAATTCTCAGCTTTGGAAGCATACAGCGTAAGTTCAGGTTATTAATGGATGTTAAGACTGTGGCATGTTGCTTTGCATTTAGATGCTCGTTGGTGTTCTAGTGATGTCCCCTAGAAGGATTCAAGCAAGGGTCTTCGGAAAAGCTCATTTATGGTTCTTCTACCTACCATGTGCCAGGACTTATGTAGGTGCTTTAAATATATAACCATTTACTGCCCCCGCCCCCAAATAACCCTGAAACCTAGTATTATTTAACCTGCATTTCACTGATTACTAATGAGCATCTCTTCGTATTTATTGGCCATTTGGATTTTGTTTTGTCTAGTGTCTGTTAAGTTGTTAGCACATTTTTAGCTGTCTTACTATTATTATTTTGTATTTATAAAGTTTCTTTATTATCCTGTCCGTTAGCTCTTTGTCAGGTAAAAGTGAGGCACATCTCCTTTTCTGTTTCGTGGCTTTTACTTTTTTAGACGGTTTCGTGATTTCTTTTTGTAGACAGTTGTTCTTGATTTCAGTGTGGCAGATTCATCCATTACTTCTGTTGTGGTTAGTGCCTTTGTTTCTGATTTCAAAATTTGTTTCCTATAGCTAGGTCATGGGAAGGTAGATATGGCTGTCCTCATTTCATGATTTAGGAAACTGAAGTTCAGAGGTAGAATGGGCTGGCTACACATGCAGTGAATGGGGCACCTCAGAAGGGAACCTGGTGTGTCTCGTTCTATTGTACGTGTTCTTTCCACCCCCACTACAGTACTTGTCCATCCACAGACCTAAGTGATGAGAGGTTCTGGTAGGTTACAGCAGCTCCTTCACCTATTGAACCTCCTCTGCCAGAATTTTCTATTTGTGTGATGAAGTTTACACCTTTATTTCTGTTTTGCCAGTTTCTGGATTTAGGGTATTAAATAGCATTTAAGTGATGACCTCTACTATTGTCACCTGTCAGTGGAGAATTGTGGTCCCTCTTCTAGTTTACTTAGCTAGCAGCCAAGACCAGATATAAGTATTTGTTGACTGAGTATTTTTATCAAAATCTCTATGCAGTTGGACTAGTCTATTAAATTAAGCAATGTATAAATAAAATTAAACTTTGAATATGGTAAAATTTAGACTGGTTTTTGAACTAGACTTACAATATATCCTATCTGAATATATTCATAACTTGCCCTTAAGGTAGTCTTTCTTCTCTTTTAAAAATCGGTTTCTGAATTTAGAAAAGACTAAATAGACATGCATCGGTTTAATAGAGAAGCATATATTTTGGCTTAGTTTCTCTGTTTCTGTCTCTCTTTGACTCTGGCTCTCTTCCCTCTCTCTCTTTCTGTCTCTCTGTCTCCATCTCTGTCTATCCCTGTCTTCTCTTCTTTTCGGTTTCTCCTATTTTAACCTGTGACACACAATGATTTGGTCAGTCCTCCATCCTTCTCTTCCTGAAATTTTCTCTCCCTCCTACTGTTCCTCTCCCCCCATGACTCTTAGATGATTTATTTTAGTTCTAACATACTGTGATTTTTAGTTTTCTAGGGTCCACTAGTATCACAGATTACTAAGAGCATCGTCAGGTATCTAGAACTCTACTTGAAAGTAACAGCAACCAAATTGTCTTTTTAGATGAGGGATCATGGCTCAATTGCATTATACCATGCCAGTGTTTCCTGATGTTACAGTAGAAGCTCATGGAATGCTTGTTTCAAAACAAACCAACAAAGGGATGCATATGAGACCAGTAAGTTAGGTCATTGAAGTAGGAGGATTCTTTAAAAATTTCTGAGTCATTAATGAAATGTTATTTTTTTATTTTATTTTTTTAAATAATTTTTTATTGTTATGTTAATCACCATACATTACATCATTAGTTTTTGATGTAGTGTTCCATGATTCATTGTTTGTGCATAACACC